TATTTAAGAAACTCTGCAACATTTACTTTCCAACCATATGATGTGTTAAATAAATTTACACGTTCATTTAGTTTTTTTTTTATTATACCATTCACCACTTTAGTGATGGGAGGGTTTATTGGGTTTGTGCTGATGTTTGTATCGCATAGACAAATTGGCTCTACACTCTACCAATCGGCTCAAAATTACTTATTGAATTGGTAAAGAGATGTTTTCCTCCCCGCGTCATGTTTCCTTGATGATATATCCCATCTTGGTGTATTGCAATCCCGGGGTATAAAGTTGCTACCAATACCTCTGGTCTACGGGACTATAAACTGGTGATGATCAAATGTATCCTCGGCCTTTCTATGGAAAGATTTGTCATGGAGTCGAACCAGAGCGTCAGATAATCTTGTACTACGGCTGGCCAGTTGCCCACAGGACTTTGTCCTGGCTGGTCAGTTAATTGAGGTTTCTTCGGGATCCACTAAGTAGCTGTGGTTTAATACCTAAAATCGCAGGGAGAAAATGTTGGTTTAAGGGCTGATATATCCAAATGCTATACCCGGTGCTGTTGCCAACTCAACTGATGTCAACTTATGCTCTCTTACTATTCGCGTAGTAGGGCGCCAATATAGGTTGGGAAATGTTCAGGTTGACATCTCTCTTACTATTGGCGTGGTAAAGCGCCAATATAGGTTGGGAAATATTCAGGTTGACATTCGGTAGTTGTCTGTCATTCCGTAGATCATTCTTTATGATCTGAGAATTGAACTGATGTAAGTTGGTGAAAGATCGAGAAAGTCTCCTTTACCCGTACACCTTTTATTTCAGGGAAGTTCTTGGCATCTCGAGTACTCCAGCAAAGTGCTTGTACTTGGACCGCAAAACCATGCACAAAAGTAGCCACCTGAGTGTTCTTCATCGAAGTCACTCGGAGACGCGTTGTAGACCCTTATCAAGTTCAGAGGATGAAAAAGACCATCATGAAATAAGACCGTCAAGGCAGGTGTTCAGTTAAGCACTCAGACATACTTGTCCATCCCTCTATCCGTCCATTTAATCCTTGTAATCAAACTACAGGTTGCAAGTTTTAAGATAATTTGAGGAAATGTTGCACAAATGTCGTTTAGAAGGTTATTGGAAATGGTTAAAATAGTTTTATTATTTCACCTAGCCCATGTACAACCGTACCTCCCAAATAGGGCACTTGAGCTCATAACTAAGATAAATGTATTAGTATTTCTACAAATTTCAGCAAAACTACGTTTTAACTAATGTGTTGTTTCTAGATAACGAGCGAGTAGTTTGAGCACAAATTTTACTTGTATTTTGTTATTGTAACAAAAACAAAATACAAGTAAAATTTTAACTCAAACTACTCACACGTTATCTAGAAACAACACATAAGTCTAAATGATACTGCCGATTTTCGTAATGATCAGGTTCTCATTTGACTCTAGCCCCATACAAAGTCCCCTTCAGAAAATGACTTCAATTGACGATGAAATTATGTATAAATAACTTTAATGTAAATTACTCAAATTTTATAAGTATATGCCCATATTTCCCCTTTCCACCATTTCCAGAAAATCACTTTTTTGTCAACAAATTTTTAAAATTTTTCGGAATTATACAAACTGGTGTATGGTATCATATGGTCGGCCATGGGCGACTATACATTCTAACTTGTTTTTTTTTTTTTTTTATTTTTGGTTGGTAAATACAAATTTATATAAGCCCACTCAAACTGTTAATATTTAGTATGTAAAATTGTAATGTGTAATTTTACACATTTATACATAAGTACATACATACATATACATATGTAGGTATTTTTCGTGTATTTACATGTGTGTCAATATTAAGTATGAAAATTATAAATGTTAATGTCGCGGTGGCTATTAGAGAGTAAATTAAACATGTTGTACAATTTTGCTAGTTTTTAATTTGTTAAATTGTACATTGATTTTATTTGATGTGTTTTTAATTTTGTATCCATTTCCATTAACAAATAAAAATAAAGTGTGTACGAGTGAAAAATAACTTTTAAATTATTTGCTTTTTAGCTTTGATTTTATAAAAATTTTACAAAATTAATGTATGTATTTAAAATGTATGTATTTTAGCTCTGTTGTTGTTCTTGGCAGTATTTCTGAAAATTCATTTTGCTTAATTTTAATTACTTTCGATTAAAATTGTATTTATTTTTCATAAATGTTTAATTTAATGTAGACTTAATGTATTTTAGGCAGAATTTAATTAATTATAAAATTTTATTTAAGTTTTGTTGTTGTAGGTGCTATTGTTTAGAGTGTTTGCTAAAAAATGAAAACATGTTGCAAAGTTACGCTTTGTTACTTCTTGTAGCATGTTGATGTCGTTCATTTGTTCGTTTATCTTTTTGCGAGTTATCTAGTCGCATGTTCTTTTTTTATGTGACTGACGTTGTTGGGTTGATTCCACGGTTGGTTTGGTTTAGTTCGGTTTTGTTTGCCACCCATGTTCATGTTCAAGTAGATGACGATGATAATGGTGACGGTGACGTTGGTGATGGCGATGGTGATGATGTATGCGATGATAAATTTATTTAAAATGCGTATGTTTATATGAATACTTACGTATCATCTTGTCAAATAAGAAAATTCAATGAAAAATGTCAACGACATTTTATTTTATAAACAACGCAAAAAAATATACGTACTTATACATACATATGTACAAAAAGAGGTATGAACAATGATACAGCAAGCATGAACTGATATGTCTACATATAAATTAAAAAATAGCAAAAGAAAAATAAAGTAAAACGTAAGATATGTATGTTTTTTTTTGAACAAATTTGTTTGTCTTTGACAAATGTGAACCACCTGTGGCAATTGTCACGAAAATTATAAATTATTTTCTTTTTTGTATTTGTTGCTGTGTTTTATGTTTTCTATTTAATCCAAAAGGGAAAATAGAACATGAGTAAAAGTGTCATCTACAATTACATGTAATATGATTAAGTACTTTATCCGATTAGATACAGAATTGAATTGTATGTATTCAGCAAAAATCATGTTTGTGTTTCAAGGGTTCCAAACAAAAAAAAAAAAAATAATTTATTTAAATGTAGAAATAAACAAATTAAGGTATAAAGAAGAGTTTTTTTTGGAATAAATATTTTTATAATATTTTAAGAAATAATTTAAAATTTATTTCAAACTTTTGCAAGGCACTCGATTCTAGAAAGAAATGTCCTTATAAAAGTAGGGTAAACTAAATAAACTTTCATAGATTTAAGCCAATTTAAGCTTTTAAATATTTGTTAATGAATATAACGGAAATGAATGTCAATGCATGCCAATACATACTTACTATATCTGTAGTTATACATATGTACCTTGATCATATAAAACAAATATGTGAACATCAATAAATGACAATTTAGCAAACATTTTCCAATCACTGAACTTTAAATGATAAAATACAGTTATATACTGACTAACAACTATAATAACTTTTATCTATTGCTCACCTTCAATAATTGTAACTTCATTATCATCATTATTATAAAGCTTGTTATCAAGATGAACATGATGATAATGACAATGAGGATGATGATAATAATGCCATTATTAAACATGCTTTGGCTCTTTATTTGTGCTCGGTCAAGTGCATTTCAAATCTCATGCACAAGTGAAGTCAAGTGCAAATTCAAACAGAACCCAAACATAAAAACATACATAGGCACGGGCTCATATGAATTGACATTTTCTCAGTGTATAAACGACTACTTATAATCACCATTTGAAAATGCAAAAAAAAAAAAAGAGAACAATTGCCTGGTTTGTGTTTTATGTTTTTTTAGTTTTTTTCTCTACATTTGTATGCTTAGAACAGAAAATGTCGGTCACCAAAGTCTTCTATGTTTTATTAGTAACCCCACTAGGCGCAGGGACAGTCAGACGCAGTACTTGGTCACTTGCAGCATGTATTGTTATTTTCAACTTCATGTTTTAAAGGGCTTGTATTTTAGAAACATTAAACGAAGTTGGTAATCATTGAAGCGACAGTTACAGAAACATGCTAGCTGCCACTGTTATTGCTGCTTGCTGTGTAACGTGACGCAGCAAAATGTTTAGCAACATATTTTGCATTATCTCTGTATGTGTATATATGTACTATATAAAAATGAGTGTAATCATTGCTGCAATAACAATCGTGAACAAATTGTGTGCAAGTACCACAACAATACCACATAATAGTTACATTACACACCCAAACACACTGGTGTAACTATTTCACTCGTGACTCTTGCCTTATGCCCGAGTTTGTTTGGGCCACAATGTAACAGTTTTGCTTTCTGCTCTCAGCGCCTTTGCTGCTTCTGGTCGTTGAACAACTAAATAAATGAATGTCTCAAGTTGTGGTCATTGCGGTATTTTACAAAAAGTCATACTTACTAACTACAAACAATAATAACAATAATAGAAGTTAACATGCATAATACAAGTAGATACGACTATACAGAGGCTCAAAGGAATTAAATCTTTATCGAAATACATATCTGACGAAGTGAAAGGATCATCGTTATAGATTTGCTGATACTTAAAAGGTATTAGGTTATTATATTCTTTTACACCTCTGCTGTGTTTGAAATTTACAACCAATATAGTAAGTAACTAAAATATTATTGCTTAGTAGTTTGGTTTGTGTTCAACAAAGTGCATTAGTGTCTGTTTTGTATGTAAATATATTTGATTTTATGTAAATTGTATAACGTGTATCCATGTTACGGTTTAACCAAACAAAAATTATAATTTGTCTAACTTAAATAAACGCAAACGAACAAAACCTAAAGAAAATCGAAATGCATTTTGTCTTATCATATTTTGTTTTAAGTTTTTCAATCATTTTTATTAGTTTTTAATGCAGTTGCCATTTGTAACTGCATACAATTGGAATTTGAATTTTCAATTGCTTGCTTGAATTTATATATTTATTGGTTTTTATTTTCACTTTTATCTTTTCAGGTCATACACAAAAATTAACCCCATTTATAAAACATTGGGAGGCAGCAAATTTCGATCGTACACATTTACATGAAGCCCATGAAAAACACATTGAACAGAAGCGACATCGTCGAAAAAGAGACTTAAATGCTGGTGAATATGGACCAGCGCATACCATAAGACTGAATTTTTCTGCTCATGACAGGTGAGTGTATATTAAAAAGATACAGCTTTAAAGGAGTTTGTTAAAATTCTACGATTTTTATCAACAATTTGACAAGGGCTACAGAAAAAAACTATAGACTAGACTATAGACTAGACTATAGACTAGACTAGACTAGACTATAGACTATAGACTAGACTATAGACTAGACTATAGACTAGACTATAGACTAGACTATAGACTAGACTATAGACTAGACTATAGACTAGACTATAGACTAGACTATAGACTAGACTATAGACTAGACTATAGACTAGACTATAGACTAGACTATAGACTAGACTATAGACTAGACTATAGACTAGACTATAGACTAGACTATAGACTAGACTATAGACTAGACTATAGACTAGACTATAGACTAGACTATAGACTAGACTATAGACTAGACTATAGACTAGACTATAGACTAGACTATAGACTAGACTATAGACTAGACTATAGACTAGACTATAGACTAGACTATAGACTAGACTATAGACTAGACTATAGACTAGACTATAGACTAGACTATAGACTAGACTATAGACTAGACTATAGACTAGACTATAGACTAGACTATAGACTAGACTATAGACTAGACTATAGACTAGACTATAGACTAGACTATAGACTATAGACTAGACTATAGACTAGACTAGACTAGACTATAGACTAAACTATAGACTAGACTATAGACTATAGACTAGACTATAGACTAGACTATAGACTAGACTATAGACAGAATTAGGCAATTAGGACGGAAAACGCCTGAGAAGGTGATTCCGGATGTTACAAACAACTGCACAAACGCATAGTTATTTAGGAGGATACTGGTGTATTCTACAAAAAGAAGTAATTTAAACACCCATATTCAAGTATGAATAATTTTCTAAAATATAAAACTCAATTTAAATATCGTCAACAACATCATTACCAGCATCATCATGATGGCAAAAATTTACGCTTGAATAATTTGAAATGAATTCGAGAGAGAAAACGGGAAAAACATACAAGCACACACATAAACACACAAAATATAGCATCAGTTAAAATGTCAAAAGTTGAAAGGCGAGTAAGAGACTTGAATTGACATTAAATAAAAAATAAACGCCATTAAAACCAAAAATTAAACAACAAATCCACAAGGACAAATTGTATGTTGTTGTGGCTGTTGTAAAATAACTTCCGAAATATAATAATTATTTCCGATTTTAAGTTGAAGAACAAAAACATCAAATGAAAGAGTAAAAATTAATGAAAACAAAAAAAACAATTTTATACAAATAAACACAAAATATCAAATGCATAAAACATGACTTTGATGTGAAAATTAAATTTCAAAAAATATGAAATAAAAATGCTATACGAAATTTAACAATTTAAGTTCAAGGTATTTTTAGCAATTTTTTTTTAATTTTCTACAAAATGTAGCCATTTTTCGCAGTGGTGAGGTTTTGCAAAATCAAATCAATATATACTACATATACATACTCCCACACTCCCCATCATACTATACCATATGCAAGTGTTTACATGTATGAGCAACATTTTCAATAAACAGTTACATTACCAGCCAATTGCTTAACAAATGTTGCTACTGCTCTGCCATTGTTGATTTGGTTGCCTCTGTTGTTGCCGTTATTGATTCTTTAATAATTTTTTTTTTTTGTAAATTTTACAGCATATTGCGTTTAGTGCGAACGTTGTTCGGTTACACTGGTTGTTTGTTGGTGATGGTTTAAATTGGTTTGATCTAAATGAATTTTCTACAGCATGTGCAACATGAACAACATCCGGTACTCAAACTTGCACACACACTTTTATATACCCACTATAAATAGTATTTGTAATGTGTGAGTGTGATTGTGAATGTGTGTTTTTACTGTATTTCATGCCTTAAAGCATTATAAAGTATTTCTACACGATTGGGAGCAGGAAATAAAAAAATTACAAAAAGCAAACTGCAACAACCAACAGAAATACAACAAAAATAGAGAATGAATGAGAGAAAAACAAAATATAGAATTTTTAAATGTCTGAATTTTTATCCTTAAAAAAATCAAAATACAATATACACATGTGTATGAATGCCATAAATACAAGTATTGAATATTAATCCAAATTCACACATACAGACAGACACATTTTCACTCATAAACACTTAGTGTTCGTGTAAAGACTCCTGCAGCGGGACTGGCATACAACGATAACAAAACTAAAGCTGTCTACCGGAAATCAATACAAATCCGCAATATTTCCGTTATTGTATGTATTGTATATGTATTACAGCCTGAACTAGTAGTAAAAAGGCGTTATTTTTCCACATAAATATGCACAAACATATACAGTTACAAAAACATACAAAATGCGTTCTACTCTATAAGGACTTTATAATTTAGGAGGGTCGCTATATTATACCCTGAAAACTGTTTTTTTACTTTTTGTAATAAAACTGTTTTTTTTTTTAATTTTCGTATTAATATTTTCTATAGAAAATTATATCACACAACTTTTTTTAATAGAAGATTGAGTTATTTATATAATTTATTCCAAAAGATTTTGTTATATAAACGATTTTCTGTTGAAAATAATATTTTTGGAAACAAAAATGGTACATCTTCCATGTTTATATAAATTTTTCGATATTCTTGTGATTTTTTAGAGTCTAATTTTTATCCGCTTGAGTGTTTTGGGTCCATTAAACACAGATTTGAATAACCAACACTGCTATACACTTGACAATCAACCATCGTATAACTACATATAACCACTTATAAAACTCGTATGCAGAAAAATATAAATGAATTATGAATTATAAGGGAAAATGGCAATTGTAAAAATAAAGTACAAAAAAATAAAATACAACCAATCGTACTTCAAAAGGAAGGAGAAAAAAGTTAAGCAAATCATTCACTGCTGCTGCCCATTGTGGTTGAGGTCTTCCAATATATTGAGGGGGAGTATAACTATCCAACTGGAGTTTTCTCTATAAATTTTTTTTGCGTACTTTGGTAGGGAAAGTTTTTAGACCTATTTTTTCTGAAATTGTTTTCTTTTCTTTAGAATTGTTGATACATATTGTGTATTTGTATGTATAGTTTCTGCTGTTGTTGTTGTCCAAAAGTTGAACAACCTTTTAAGGGAGTGGCAACAGCTGTAAGTAATATTGTGCTTTTGCATTTATTGTTTTATTAATTCTTTGTTTCTGTTTTCGAAAAAAAAAACAATAATAGAAAACTTTCATTTCAAAAAGGAAATTATTAAATATGTATGTATATATGTAGTTGTTGTGTGTATATTTGAGGGAAAAAACTGGCCAGAGTGCATAAGTTTGAGTATCGGTATCGGTTTTGTAAAGTATACTTGAATGATTTATAGACTTAAGGGATTTTAATTATAAGACAATTTGAATTATTTATGCTTTATGAAATCAAAAAAAAACATTTATTTGTAAATGTTATAAATGTGTGTTTATTCTATTTACAATAATACATATCATTTAGAATTAATTTTCTTTAATTTGAGCATTTGTGTATTTTTCGTTAAATTCATAAAATTTTAAACCATTTTCCTTATTATCACAAAATAACTTTCTAAAGTTGTAGCCAAATAAATTATACTCATCCCTTTCACTTATATTTAAAGCTATGTTTTCGCTATCCCTTTTTGCCATTAATAAACCGGAAATTCTTAATTCGTCAGGAAATACTATTTCATGTAGAAAACATTAGCACATTTCCGGTTGCCATTATTGACATATTTCATTGTTAAAAAAACAACATTAACAGCAAAAACAAAAAACTTGTTTGAAAACACACACTCGACATTAAACACTCTTGTGACCTTTCAAAGTAGCAAAGTATTTTAGTGAATTTATTAAATATTTAATGTGATAAATAATATTATTAAGTTAGCAGCAAAATAAGTAGTAAGTAAATATTTTAATTCAAATTATTTTAAATTTAAATTCTAAAGTTTTGTACTCACACTTTGTGACTTTTTACAGAGTACTCTAACACAAATTCCTTATGTGTTCAATTTGTAAATTTTGTGTGTAATTGACATGAAATATTTTACGTGCAATTTGTTACTTTACAAGCAAAGTGCTTATATCTCAAAAGTACAGGAATACATTTTATTAAGCAGAACAACATTTTTGTGAATATTTATGAAAAAATAATTCTAGTCTAAACTTCATTATTTCAAAATTCTACCGCAAATTTCGTCTACGATCTAGTCTATTGTCTAGTCTATAGTCTAGTCTATAGTCTAGTCTATAGTCTAGTCTATAGTCTAGTCTATAGTCTAGTCTATAGTCTAGTCTATAGTCTAGTCTATAGTCTAGTCTATAGTCTAGTCTATAGTCTAGTCTATAGTCTAGTCTATAGTCTAGTCTATAGTCTAGTCTATAGTCTAGTCTATAGTCTAGTCTATAGTCTAGTCTAGTCTAGTCTAGTCTATAGTCTAGTCTATAGTCTAGTCTATAGTCTAGTCTATAGTCTAGTCTATAGTCTAGTCTATAGTCTAGTCTATAGTCTAGTCTATAGTCTAGTCTATAGTCTAGTCTATAGTCTAGTCTATAGTCTAGTCTATAGTCTAGTCTATAGTCTAGTCTATAGTCTAGTCTATAGTCTAGTCTATAGTCTAGTCTATAGTCTAGTCTATAGTCTAGTCTATAGTCTATAGTCTAGTCTATAGTCTAGTCTATAGTCTAGTCTATAGTCTAGTCTATAGTCTAGTCTATAGTCTAGTCTATAGTCTAGTCTATAGTCTAGTCTATAGTCTAGTCTAATAGTCTAGTCTATAGTCTAGTCTATAGTCTAGTCTATAGTCTATCTATAGTCCTAGTCTATAGTCTAGTCTATAGTCTAGTCTATAGTCTAGTCTATAGTCTAGTCTATAGTCTAGTCTATATAGTCTAGTCTAGTATAGTCTAGTCTATAGTCTAGTCTATAGTCTAGTCTATAGTCTAGTCTATAGACTAGTCTATAGTCAGTCTA